AAAACTTTTCTTCATACTAGGAAGTAATCTGAATTGAAATTTATTCAATCAAAGTTAGCATACCTTGCGGTTAGTTGCCGTAAAGCATTTAAGAAAGCAGTAGGTCGAAAAATACTGCCAAGTCTGATTGGATTAGCTAATATTTTATGACTGTCATTGATACGTGATAATTCTTCTATTGATTTAGCTTTATGTATTAAAACTGACAAATACTGAGCTGGATCCGATGGACCTCTCCATGCTTCTTGCCATTTTTCTGGTGTCTATAAATAAATGTAAACAAAGTGAAAATATCTCAATACTCTTCAATGTTCCTGAGGAATTTTTGTTGAAGAATATATTAATTAATCACAAAACAGTCTTTCTTATTTTACAAAAACAAAAAAAGCAAACTTGATGCATCATTAATGCCTGTGCACTACTAGCAATTTCTGATGTGAGCGACTGAATACCACGTAAATATTTACTTATTGCACCAAGGAATTTATGCACTTTTTGAACCTGAAATTTTTCGATTTTAATTTCGCAAAATTCCAATTTATTATCAACATACCAAAAATTATTGCATATGATGTATACCAGTATTATCGCATGAACATATTCCAGAGAAATAATTTCTAGAATAAGATCATCAGTATGCCGTGCCAGTGGTACATTCATGGAGTGTAATGTTGATTGGGAATTGAGTCGTTTCCAAAGCGTTAAAATTGGGTTTAAAGCTTTATTCCATGCATTCCTGAAAATTTTTGCATCATTTTGGCTTATTTCATCTCATCTATTTTGCACTGTTAATTTTCTATAAATGTTATAATATAATTAACATATTCAGCTGATTCTTATCTTTCATCAAACCATTTCTAACTCATTTAACCAACCATATATACTGCAACGAAAATTTTTTTAATTAACAATTCTACGCAGTATTCGAATGTCTAATCAATTTCACCCTTATAAACAATCGTTTGAAAGAGAATTAAAATGAGCACCATTATTCAAATAGTAAGTATTACCTGTCATATGTAACTTCGTTGGCAACAGCAATTTGCATGTTACGTATTTGCCGAATTGTTTTATTCGTTTCCGCCATTTCACGTGCAGTACTTATATTTGAAGGTAAACCAAACAACACCGGATTGTCCTCTTCAGGTATATTTGTATTGATGATGTTAATATAATCCTGTTAAATAAGCAGTAATAAATTCTAACTTTTCAATTCTTCATTAGAAATCTTAATTAAAAGTGAAAAAAAATCACAAGATTCCTAAAATAATATAAGCATGTCTTAAAAATTCTGTTATATATAGTATTCTGGAAATATACCGTGATACTGCTTGAAAATGGGACAGAAATATTGTGCACAATTTTAGGACCATTTATACCAATAACAGATGAATTAAAATACCGTTTCAAATAAACAATCAAAACGTTCATATCAAAATTATTGTCAATACGTCCACCATATGCAACAGTTTGCATTAGGCCACGTAATAATTGCCAATCAGTAGCTGAAAAAGTTCTGCTAAAAAAGAAATTCTACTTTAAAATTTAGAAAAAAGTTTAACAATTATGACTCTTCGATGGTTTTGACATCGCCTTTACTCTCTCACGATTCTCTCCGGATAAAAATAGAAAGTAATAAGGCAATATGGTTTCTGCAAATTAACGCATGATGCCAACCAATAAATCTATCAGTTTTATCAGAGGAGAATAATTCCAAACATTTGATTACAATTGAACAACCTGCATCGTATTACTTTAAAGATTTTGAAAGGTATACCGTCTAGCTGCTATTATTCCTAGTCTTTAGCAAAAGACATAGTTTAATGAAGATCAAGGTCTATATACTCCGAGCACTGTTAAATCGTTCGTAATAATTTAAATCTGGAACACTTTACCTTTATCATCTTTTGTAACATTTTCAACAAACTTCTTGGCTACTCGCAGATCACTGTTACTAAATTCATAAAACTTTGACCAAGCCTGAAATCTCTATGGATTGACATATAACATTTTACATGAGGTTAAGAGTTGGTTAACATGCTATATTTGCTACCACCTGTACAATAAGATTAAATTAGAACTTGATTCTCATTCATCTTTAATGGATTTAGTAATATGTATGTTTGAACCTACAATTGGGTAAGTTGTTAATCACAAAGTCGAGAAATAAACGGTAATTCGCTACTCTTTATTTTTTAATTTTTTGATATAAAGCAAATAAAACTAAAAAAATTAACTTAAAACCAAGCTGGAAACATGGTGCGATACAAAAAAAGGCACATTAAAGTACAGTTCTAAATACGGCTATTATAACCATTATTTAACGATTTACCAAATCGCGATAAGCAAACTACTTTGCAATTACATACCAGTTGAAGTGCACTTAGGAACTTCCCTTGAATTAAATTTTAAAAAAAAGTTTTTTTTTTCTTTATTACAGTTTTTATGAAATTCCATAAGTTCAGATAAAAAGATTTACCTCAGGTATGAACATTCGTCGCTCTTGCAGAAGTGCATGTAACCAAGCTAATATAAATAAGCTTTGCAAACAAACAGCATTAAAATTAAGATCAGACTGTTGCCATTGGGCATAAATCCTTTTCATATTATTCTTGATTCCAGGTGGTGTTTCGTAAACAATTTTCAATGAAGTTTGCAGTAACTGTGGTGAGAAATGCTCATTTGACTCGGAAGTTAACCATAGTCGAAAACCGGAATTTCGTTTCGACGTCGAAAATTCCTGAAATTGAATTAAAACTATAAACAATCACTGAAAGATTAAAAAAAATTTTTTTGGGAAAATATACATGTTCGACTATGGTTAATGTTTCGACTACGGAGCAATTAACTTTTTTCTAGAGTTTAAAAAAGAAAACATATAATCATGTTAATAGATTAAAATTTTTCTCCACTGTCACGATTTTACAAAATTAGAAATTTTTATCCTATGCCTTCTCTATTGCCGCTAAATCATCGATGGCGAGATGCAAATTTTTCAAGCACACCCAACCACCATTTGCTGAACATATACGAATTGCTTCAACGGCTGCTTGACGTTGTCCTTGGCCCATCGAAATTTGATAAAATTTCGCTTTAGATATTTGTTTTCGAGCCAATTCTTCCAGTTCCTTCAATAGTAAATCTATCATGTCAAAAAACTGGACTCATAATAATTAGATCTAAAATTCTTTGCGAATATTGCAACTAAGGAAAGATTACATACGAAGAATTTTGGTGCCTTAATCTACTCTGATTCCCTATCATAAGTTGGATCTGAAGCTTCAAAAGGTTTCATCTGTGAATCAGTGCACATTAAAAATTTCAGCTGTATAAAAAAAATAATTAGAGCTTGAATTTGATGTCTAACACAGTGTACAAGATCACGAAGTTAGATTTCAACTTTCAACTGCAATTTAACTGTTAGTACTCCAACTCCTTTTTCTATATTTTAGAACTAGAAATTAGAATATATCAATAATACCTGTGAAGGATCTGCCCCAGGACTAATGAGTATCATGATCGGCTCATTTTCATTGCTTTCTGACTTGTAGATTGACCTCAGATCTAGTGGAGACGGATTGATTGAAGGGACTTCTGAAATTTAAGCTAAAAAGTTCTGAGATTCAGATAATTAGTCTTTAGATGATGGATTAATTTCAAACCTAATACGTTAGTTACAAAGCTGATTATAGCTGAATAAAGTCTTTCTGGCCGAACTGCCTGGATAACGAGCAATTTCTGGAACGGTGTTATAACTGTATCGATAGCAGGTGGAAATGCTGTTTCGCAATTTACTGTGCGAGCAAATTCATTCCACAATCCTTGATCCGTAAAACGAAGATTGTTAAACAATGTCGGCAAATATTTCTGCAAAATTTTCTAAAATTTCGATTTTCGTAGTTGGTTATGTCAAAAAAATTAAAACTCATTAACAGCGATAAATTATCCTTTGACATAAGATTAAAAAAGATTTAAACTTCTAAAAGATGCTTGAAATACCTGCAATTTAGCAACATTGGTTTTTTGTTCATTACTAATCCAGTCAATTCCTTCCGTGGAATAAGCTGTAGCATCATTAACAATCAAACCTGTAAATAATTCCCATTCCTGAAAAAAAAAAGATTATCATCAGCTTGATCTCGACATCTGTTAAATGAATGATAACTTTGGATATTTTTCATGAAGAAACATGATAACTTTGACTAGTTAACATCAAATATGGCACAGTATCAAATTCGTATCAAATTTAACACACAATAAAATCAGGGGATATTTGAATATCAAGTTGTGTATCTATATGGTAAATTCAAAAAAAAAAGGTATAGTATCAAACTGTTTAATTCACTTAAACGAAATTAAATTCACATTTAAATTAAATGCTAACATTTTGTGCGAAGAGAGATGGTTGTATTCCATGAATAAACCGCAGAGAAAACATCAAGCGATCTTTTTTGAAAACTGCACGTGTTATATGTTCATAAACAGTATGTTGAAGTATCCGTCGCAGTTTTTCCATTCGTCCTACGGCATTCGTACTTTCCTAATATATAAAAGATAAATGTGAAATCTTTATGAAATTTAGGGTTTGATATTTTTAACTTATCAGTTGCCTGCTCGTAGTTAGACGTATAATCCGCAATAACGAATTTATTCAAATACTATTCAAGAGAAACAGAATTGGAACTGAAACATTATTTCATTGATGAATAATTTTGAAACAGTACTTTTTTACAACTGATATATTTGGTAGGCAATTGCAGCCCGCGAAGACTGATATATTTGGTAAGCAATTGCAGCCCGAAAAAGCTTTGATATCTGGATAAGCACCTTATTGTTTCATTTGGAAGACTAGGTTATCTATTGGTGATTCATATCACCTGATTTTTTATTCAGCTAATATAGTTTAAAAAATCGCACAAAATTTCTGTCCGGTTTTATATCAGAAACTCACCTTAACTTTGCTGAATGTACGATTGTATAAGTTTATTACAGTATTGAGGTTAAAGTTATACATGGGGTCTTGTTTGTGTAAATCGTGAATAATGAAATATAAATTACTTGCAGTTTCTGCTAGCGGTCGATATGCATCCTTTTCCTGGAAGAAAATGAATATTACTTCGATAAGCATGACGTATTTTAACTAATTAATTAAAATTGTGAGTTTAACTAAACTCTTTTTAAAATAAAAAGAGAATTGCATCACGTGTAATAAACCTTAACAAGTTGTTTTTGCAATTTGTCAGCTTCAGCTAGTGATGCTGCAATCGTCTCTGCATTCTCTTTGCTTTTATTCAAGGAATCCAATAAATCAGCATTATCTAGTAGACTTCCTTCGGATGAAGCTAATGTCTTAAATATAATAATCATATCCAAAGGCAGTCTTAAAAAAACAATATATCTGAAATGTACATAAGTAATATCACAAACAAAATTTTAGAAATAATTAACTGTTTGCACTATCTTCATCTAAGGTAAAAGCTGTTTTCCTCGTGTCCAAATCATAAAGAAATTTTCCATATGTGCATAAAAGAAAAGCAATCGGATAAATTAATTACACATAAAATTTTAAGGTATTTTTGCTAAATAATTTTTAACATTTTACTTGGAGAAGTGATTGTTCAATGCCATCAAGTTTAATTTTCATCTGTTCCACACTACTGGTCAATTCATTCAAACGCGTTTCCAAGGTCGGTTTTTCAATTTGTATTGCTAATCCGAGCATCTAAGTAAACTAGTCAATATATTTCAAAGATTTCCAGAATGCTTGCACATTATCATTGTAAATGGAATCAAATTTCATCAGAAAACTTGACTCCCATACGATGATGAGGCACTTAGGTTACTTCTTTACAAAAAAGTTAATTTTTTTCAAAAAACGACAAACTTGCGATGCAAGGCCTGTTTGTGTGATACTGAAACCTATTAAAGCAACCGCTGCCTTAGATGTTTGATCCAACTGCAATAAATGATTCTTGGAACAGATATACAATCGAAAATTATCATTATAATCAACAGTTTTCTCACCAATTTGAACAATATGTCGTAGTCCTAAAAGAGTAAAAAAGATTTCATTATTAATCACGTTCATATATAAAATAATTTATTCGAGATTTTTATTATAATTGAGAAAATTTCGAAGGAGACTAATGCCTCACAATTCGTTACATATAACTATAGCTTATTTACATATAAATTTATTAGTTTCATTATGGTATCGTCATTAAAAAAAAAAAATTCATTATCGTCATTAAAAAAACTAATTAAAATTTCCGCAATTCCCGTTATGTAAAAAGTTTCACACTATGGAGCAATTGATCTTATTTAACAATTTGGAGCTTAATTAACGGATATACGTGATCGTTTACTTATCTGTCATCGTTAGCCTCTTCAAAATACATTTCGCTGTGGTGTTATTCCCCTATTAAGAAAGCTACTGCACAGAATGATCGGATAAGTCAAGTAAACTTAGCAGACCTTTCTTGAAGGAATCTTTTCCTTTTTTTTTTCTACTTATATTTTTTTGACAAAATTTATTTCCATCCTCCATTAGGTCTAAAAATCATAACAGAAGTATACCTTGACTCGAAAACTCTTTCCGAAGAAGATTCATGAGAGTGGGTTCAATTCTATTAGCATCATCAATGAGTAAAATCTTGCCAAAACGAACAGCGAGTTCAACCTAAAACTGATATAAGAATGATAAAAACAAGTACACTTGTCAGATTACGAGATTGCTTCATGAGGTCAATATCTCGAATTTGATTGGCAACAGAAAGAAAAATAGAATTTTTGGAAAATGATTAATACATTTCTCAGCATAATTTCATTTTTTTTAACGATTGACAATACATCTCTTTTTCCGGTTTTTTAGTAAACAAATATATATTACCTGAGTAAGAAAATTAGAATCATTTGCGTTCACTTTCTCTACTTGCTTATCTTTCAAATGTTTCTCAAGAAATGATAATGCACGCCCGCTAGGATCGATGATTACGGGTATTTCCATAGTATTGAATAAAATCATGGCATTCTCTTGTGAGAGTGCATCAGTTGGAAGTCCTTTGTTACTCCAATTCAACTGAAACAAACGATGGAAAATAAAACAATCAATTAACAATATTGAAGTGAATGTTATGCCAAAATAATGTCGTTGTATGAATTCAAGCTGTTCCTTATACACCACGATGCACTCCATTCTTCCTTCTAATATGTCAGTTATCACTTCACTTTTTTTTTTATTTCACATATCATTTAACTTTGATGAATCAAGTTCCTTAAAATCACATCACTGCATTGAAATCAAGAAATCGAGACTTGAAATTTCACCAATAACAACATGCCTTTTCGGTCTCCATAACATTGAATTCAAGTATATTGAAGTCATTTAAATTGAGGATTTTTTGCCATTTACTCAAAATTTCATTTCGAACTTGTTCGGATTCTGAACCCAGAAACGTCACAAAGGCAGCAGACAGAAGGGAACCCTTTTCCAGCTGTAACACAAATTAAATGTGTTTGGGAAAATATTAAGCACAAATGGGAAACTGATCCTTTAGGATCAGTTAAATTAGGAAGCAAAAATTAAAACAAAGAAAAACTTAAGAAAAAAAATTACACAATCAAGTTCACTTTGCAAATTGCCGATTTGCATTTGCCATCTCTCATACTCACCACTAAGTCTATCTATAAGAGTTCCAGCGACATTAAGCGTTTCCTGGAATTTTAAATTTACGAATGATATTGATGTGGCAACAAATGAACATAAAACTGAAGAACTTAAAAGCAATTCGTGTAATACGCTTTCTCTTTATTGTATTTCTCATTTAGGTTCAACTTGTGCTTCATTATCTTGTCCAGAAATTGTTTTTCGGAAAGGACAATTCAAATAAAGATGATATAAGCTTGCCTGTTGCTTATCTAAGTCAATCTTTATTTGCGTTGCTTCTTTCATATGGAGTTCAAAGTTATGCTTCAACTCAGTAACTCGTTCGTCAACCGTTTCTAAACCTTTCGACAATTTTGCCATTTGCTTCTCGGCTTCGTTTAGATTCCTACAGTCAGATTATAGGTTTTCAAATTCCATTATTTTGTTTTAAAACAAATACCTCAAATATTTTCGTAACTGATATTTAAATTATTCAAAAAGTAGAAATATGATACATAATCATAATGTCACTTTTTTCATATATCTATTTGTTTGGCTATTCGTAATTTTCAAACTATATAAGCCCCATTAATACATCACTAAACATTTTAATTTACATTTCTTGAATGATGACATTAGAAAAAAAAATCGTTAACTTACTTAATCAAATCATTTTTCTCTTTTTGCAATGGAGCAACACGTTCCAAAATTGTCGAATAATCTAAATTTGCGCATACCCATGCAGCTAACGGCGCTGCTGCTGCTGATGCTCGCTTCGCATTCTGTAGATTAAAATTTGTCAAGGTTACAATAATAAATTAGATGATAATCATAAATTAGATGATAAGTTCATTTATAAGGGATTCATTCTACAAAAGATTTATGATCAAAACGAGAAGTCAATGAGAGTCAATGAATTTTTGAATGACTTGATAATTGATAAAGGCGAATGAGAATTTACTTGAAATGCAGGTCATAATCTACCACCAAAGATAGTTCAAATAAACTAGATCTTATTTCAGATAGAATGCTTAAGATTTGATTCACTATATCAAAAAAAAATTATCAAGTCATTCAATATAACCAACCTTTGGATCAAACGATGACTGTTTGCTTTTTACAAGAGCGGAAACCTTTTTGTTAACATCAGGTGAAATTCTTCGGGCATCGAAATTAATTATTTCATCTTTGACTCCATTTCTCGCCAAAAACCTACAGTTAAGATAGAATTAAATTTACGAAACTTAGAGGATGTTCACATAAAAGCGGTTCAACTGTTAAATTTGAAACTAGCCTATCGGATGAAAAGGAATTTAAATATTCTCATTTATTTAAAAAAAAAAAAACGAATTTTATAAAGAAGAAACTCTTACTCACTTTCTCATCGCTTCCCAGGATGTGTCAAAAATACCCATAAATAACAATACAGCTTGTAAAATATCTCGGATTGCTTCCGGTGGAGCACGTAGGCTTCGAATTTCAGATAGACTCTCTGACTTAATAGAACCAACTGCTTCACGAGCTTCACGCAGCATAGGTTCCACCTGAGAAATATAATTTACTAATAACTTACAACTGATTTATTTAGCTAAACAAGATAAAATTTCGCAGTTAAAACTGAATTGCGCAAATTAAAATAACATTTTTCTTGAAAACAGTCACCTCGCGTAACTGTTCATCGATCAAACGTTTTTTCTTTTCAATCCTTTCATTTTCCTTCACGGTTGCCAATTTGAGTTGCTCCATATCTGATCGTTGATAATTTGTATCCTTAAAAAATCTAAATTTTATAAAATACCTTAAATAAAAGGGAAAAAAACTTGAGAATAGTTACATAATATTCGGTTAATTTTAGTTAGGTAAAGTCTTAAGCAGTAAAAGACCTATTTTTTAAGATTTATTTATTGAATATCGAATATAATCTAAAATTTATTTATTGAATATCATACGAGATATCAATATGATTACTTCAAAAAATTTTTAACAAACCGTCATGCTTTGTGATATCGCCTTCAGTGCCATATCTGCATCGGCTTGTTTTTCAGCCAATAATTTACTCTTCTTGGCAGCTTTTTTTTGCATGCTGGAAACAGATTCACGCGCCTCCGTTAGTTTACCAATTCCGGCCTGGGAAAATAATAATTATGATGGCAGTGCGAAGAAGTGTCCAATCCCATTTAGTTTGTTTTATAATGTTTAAAATATACAATTTAAAACTCAAAAAGTCGAAATAGCAGAAATATAAAAAATTTCTCTTTTGAATACGAAAAATCAATACCTTAAGCCTGTTAGATCGTGTTTCAATAGCGGTTCTTTTTCTATTGAGAATACAAACATAGTTTTCAATGAATCGGATATATTTTGCTGGCGGTGCTATTTCGGATGGGCACTGATGATAGATTTGCCCGAAAGCTATTACTATATCATTTGGTGTTCTGATATCATGCCGCGATAAAATTAATTTCGACAACTGAAACTACTTGATAACCACCATGCAATTCTCGGCTCTTTTTTCCTTTTTTGAAGAAAATTCCACAAAGTTTTTTGGGAGTTCTATCTTACGAGGATAAAAAATTTTTTAAACTAATTGTCCATGAAACCAAAATCATTCAGTACTAAAAATATAGATGGTTGTTTTTCCTGAAATTTCTTCCAAAACTGTTAGGCAAGATCTCTATCTAGCTATTTCAAGATACTAAACTTTCATCATAAATAACCTGTGCCAAAGCATCCTTACTCCATGTTTCATTCCAAATGATCGAACATTCTTTATATAATGACGGATTTGATGAACATTTTATGGCAAAATTTGCATCATCAACATTTAAAATGAGGACGATATGCAAGTTTGCTTTTACTTCTAAATTAATAAATATGTCATTATTGACAACTTAATCACTTTAAAAACATTTTTTTGTTCGACTTAAATACGTTGCTTGCTAATGACTTCAAGTCTGGAAAAATAATTTCAAACAGTTTCTTGCTTTTAAGGATATTTTTTGACGTTCACTCAAATTATTTCTATTCCTTACATTTGAAAAATATTTATTTCAATAGTAATAAATTTTTGTTTCACATTTCCAAAAGCATAAAATTTAGCAGGAAAAATAAGGAAAAAAACGAAATACGGGAAACTTACTCATAACAAAATACGAATATAAGTCGCCTTGAAATGCGTCTTCTGAAGCTTGTTCACGTAAGTTTATCAAAAAGCTATCGAATTCTTGGACACTAAATAATCCAGGAAGATCACCAGATGACAACAATGAGTTTATCGATTGCAAAAATGCATCATGTAGTAATTGATAATCTTCAACAATGTAAACAATATGTTTACCGTTTATTGCTGCATCCTGCATGACCTGCAAAATATTCGGAAGCGTTAACATCAACTCAATTAAGAGTACAATGATCACTCAATTCGACATTAGTCAATTAAAGATATAACGTGAGAACAAACATCTTCATTCAGGAATGTAATCGATGATATACTGTTTGCTCACTTTATATAAACTAAAATCGTACCGTTTTTAAATCATTTCTGAACTGTTTGATTCCATAAGACGATGTCAACTTAGGCGAGAACACGGGCATTTGATGCATGTTGGCGACAAGCGATGCAGCTTCACGTCTTCCCATACCAGCTCTTCCAGCTAGCAATAAGGAACCTCCTGAAAATCAAAAAAATTAATTGAAGACTTGGTGTACTTTAAAAAAGAAAGGCCTATTTAGCAGTATTAACCAAAAGGTCAGTTCACAATTTACATTAAGTTTTTCCTGAAAAATACTTGAATTCAAACTGTGGTTATCCAGAAAAATTAAAGAAATGTCAAGGAAACATATCAGGCGCGGTGATGACTCGATCAATCTGGGAACATAACTTGACAAATTCATCAAAAATCGGCATTTTAAAATTTGCTATTTCAAATTCTGAAAATCAATATGTTTAAAAATCAAATGCACAAATAGATTAATACAACTTGCAATTTTAGTAAATTAATATAATCATCATGAAAACATGATAACATAAATGATAATATAAAACTTACCATATCGGTTAACTGCTTGCTGCAAAAGTTTGGCGTACTCTTTACGTGGTACCAGCGACAATGGCGTACCTTTCAGCAATTTTATTGAAACAGCTCCTGGGGCTGATATATATAAGTTATCTGAAAGCGCAAGGTCAGTTTTCAACTCACTATCGACCGTGAAACCTTAAATCTTGAATTATAAAACGACTTTGAATTTATAAACTAAGGTTGTTCAGACGCATTATATAATCCTTCCTTGCTTATTATACTTTAACAGTTAAAACCCAAAGTTAGTCTTCAAGCAAAAAACTCAAGGATTTAAAAATCAAAGCTAAATTTTCACCTTCATCATTGCGTACTGCAGTTAATGACAAATTATTGTTGATAATGTCCTCCAATCTGTAAAATTAATACATAATTATTCTTTAAATATTTTTCTTTCCACATTAATTGTACTTCATCAACATGAAAATATTACTGCAAAGAATTCAGGAAAAGATTACTGGCTAAACATATAACAGAACTGCACACATTAACTCTTAGATATAAATTACTGTCATAATACGTTTATTTAACTCTCTCTTAAAATATTTGAAGTAATTAATTATATTTCATCAATTTGAAATATTTGAAAGTAATATTACGTAAATTTTAAGAATAAAAATATCACCTCTGTTTATGCTCATTATTTATCAAGCGATCCTTGAAAATTCGCCGAAATTCATAGAGCATGGAGCACAAAAATTTTTCACTAGCATTAGTACCTGTCAATAAAGATAAATTATACTTTTTTGCTTCACAATAATCATCATTTTATCATCTAGGGAGAAATATTGTTATACGCAGTGAATAATTAGATCAAACACAGGTAGAGAAAGATTAAAATACAAAGACATGAATGAGAATAATGTCGAATTGTTAGGTAACGCTTTATGCTATGAAACTCTAACGCCAATAATTATAAAGATGCTTATTCTTAATCATAAGACTAACAAAAAAAAGGAACTTGAACGATAACATTTACCAACTACTACTAGAATTCAAGAATTGCTAGCAATTAGAAGTAGAACTATTAGAATTTTTTCACTTATTGTGTAACTTGCCACCTTTTAATACCATCAATATGAAGCAAAATACACCCGTTATAAAAAATTACCAGTAATATCGTATCTTGTAAGGGTAAATACCCAATTTGATAAATCTTTCAGCGTGAACACGTAATGTGCGTTATCAGTTGACTTGAATGCATTTCTCACGTCATTAAACAGGTGCACCATGGTGTTTGCTAAGTCATTTGATCGATACCTCAATGTCTCGCTCGAGTCCTGAATATATTTTTAATGGAAAAATTCTTTATAAAACTAAGTCCAACCAGTTTTCTTTTAATCATTTACTCGGTTAAAAAATAATTCATCAAAACTGCAATCTCTTGTTTATAATACAATAATTGAGAAATTTTGAAGGTGATGTTTAGTAAAAGGTACTTTCACTAAAAGTGTCAGATATGAGGAGTAAATAGTGACAAGCTCTTCCTTCGTAGGATATTCAACTGTACAAATTCTAAGCAAAGAAACAAAACGTGATGGTAGCAGATAATGACCTTCATCATTAGCCAGCGTTATCGATAAAACTAACTGAAAATAATAAAGTGATTTAATAAGTATTTCAAGTTCTACTTTGGAAACGATGCCAAATAACCTGTAATGCAAATAAATAATTAGACGGTTCTTTTGTCAGCTCAGTGATCGAGAATGTTTTATTGTCAATAATTGGAACTGATAAGTAAACTTAAGCACCTTCATCGAGACTAATATAAATTTCGCTAATTTGAATTTCATCAATCCAAAAATGCATTGTTGATAACTATGGCATGATCGTAAACAGTCATTAGCATGATATTTAGCTATTTAAAAAGAGCTATATTTTTAAATAATTCAATTAATCTAAACAATCGTAATTGTAAAAAACAAATGTCAAACAAAACGCCGATTTTTTTTTGGAAAACAATTTTTAGAACACGAACTTGAATATTTTCCAGAGAGATCCATTCTAATTTTTCATTATAATATCCTTCATATGTGAGAAGTTGTTGCAAGAAAGCGATTATTTCACAAGTACCCCATTTGTCGGGCTTCACAACATTAATTGCTTTTATGTAGAAAACCAAATTTTGCTTCTCTTTCGGTTTAAGTACTCTTCCAGATGCACTACTAATTTGCACACAATACTGATGCAACAAATCCACTACTTGCTGAGATCTGAAATTTGCTGAACATATGAAAAAGATACTTGCAGAATATTATTTCACATCATAAAATGAACAATGAAATCCTCCTATGGTTTTGATTTTTTTTATCAAGAAATTGCGGAATTACTTTGCAAAGTTTAACAAAAGAAACTGCCATTTTGTTAGATTCTAAAAAAAATTAAAATTAAAATTCACCTACCCTGTTTGAGCACTACAGTGAAGTATAGCTATTTGACCATTTGGATCCAATTCTAAACAGTGTCGTAGCAAGCTTTCTTTCCCACAACCATCTGGACCATATATTATGAAAGGTTGTCTATTACGATTATTCAACCATGAGCAAATCTACAAATTTACAGCTTTTGATACTCAAAATTTACCATAATACTTAAACATTTTTTTATACGCTTTACTCAATGCAAATCTGAATGACTTGAAATTCGAAAGTTTATTGAAAAATTTGTTGAATGAAAATATCCACTTACAGTATCACGATTAGCTTGAGCATTAGCAGTTAAAATGTAGGGAGGCCGTTCCAGACTTAGTAATTGGTCATTGTTATTTGTCATATTTATTTCATCTGTATAAGTTAGCAGTGATCTTGCTCGCTTATCATAATAAACATTTCCAGGATTTTGCTTATCTGGTAAGCTTATTTCATTGAATACAACCTAAGAAAATGATAGATGAATTATAAGTATTTTTTTTGTCCATGATAAATTGAATTCATTATAAAATTTCAGGAAACTATAAACGTGTAATTTGAAATTTTTCGTATTAATTTCAAAATACAAAAAGCGACAGGAATTTATGAACCTCAGTAGCGAATTGATTTCGGGATTTTGGGCTGAGATTTGGAGCTAATCCACGATATAATGCTACCAGAAATTCGTCGCATGATGTCACATCTCTCAAATGACTCAATGCATTTTTCACTGCAGCAGTTTTACTTACACTAATTTCAATAACTCCTTTCGTCCAAATCCAATCCAGGCACCTGAAACTTTTAAGGATTTTTTTCTTGCAAATGTTATTTTACAGGTGATGCACTTATTACTAAACCATAATAATCCTAATAATACACATATTAGGTAATTCAAACTATAGCAAATTCTAAGAATTCTGAAAAGCAAAAGAAACTTCAAATATCAACCTGTATAAATGATCGCATATCCAATTGGACATATCTGGATGACCATCATTATACTCTTTAAGCCAATTATTGACCAGCTCCTGAATACCAATATCCTCCTCGCTGCAATAAAGCATAATTTGAAAAAAAAATTTATTTATTAAATGCTCCAATCAAACTGCTCAACAATTATACAATTACAATATAAAAACGTTTTGTGGATAATAAAAACTGAACCTGACAAGTATTATACCCATCCGAGAAATCGTTGCTGGGGAAGCGTTACTGAGATTGTCGGTTTCAAAAATGAAATTAACGTTAGATCCAAACTGAATTCTCTCACCAGATGGCATTGTAAGCTATAAACTGATTAAATAACTCAATCAATTTATACGTCAACATCTTACTGGATTTACTTGAAAGGTGAACGAAGGAAATATACAATTTTTTAGAACACTTTGTTGAACATTTCTATAATTGATAATCAGTACGGAAAGAAAAAGATTTACTAGACGATTATCATCAAGCACCGAATTGAGTGCTTCAATCCATTCCGGATCAATATCACCGTCACAAATAATCCATGCTGATGCACTGTTATCTTTGATAACTGCGCGAGCAGCTGTTGTTAATACCCCATCAAACCATTCACGTGTATCCATATCCATGTATCCCAAAAGCTGAGTTAAAAATTATCGACTACAAATAATCAAGGCGGTTCTTGGCTTCTTATAGAACTTTTGCTGTTGTTAACAATTTAAAATATAATGTATTGCATGTACAGAAGTAAAAATTTACTTTTTGTTTTGCAATTGATTTTGGATTGATCCGATAAATTTTTACTTGCTTATTTACTAATGCCATAGCTTTTTGCAGTACTTTCCATATGGTTGATTTGCCTGAACCACTCGGCCCTAACAGTATTACACCCATTCTTTGTCGCATTTGATCATACAATTCAAATATTTTTTTCATCTAAATAGAAAGACCCTCACTGGCAATCATAGTCTTATTTCATTAAATATATTTAAATATCAAGCAATATAACTACCTTATAGCGTTGTAATCAGTACACGATCTTATCTAGCACAGAGCTACGTAGCTAAACGATCTGGTTACAAATTAGCTTTTGAAAAACTGGACCAGACCGAATAGTCTTAATAGTCCTAATCAATAATGATAATAAAAATACCTGTATATCAGTAATTGTTATCTTCAATTCACCAGCAACCAATTTCAGTGGTTCTAGCAGTTCTTCAATCTGAAATTATTTTTGAATAATCACATCTTCAGAATCCCTTTTTTACAACTACACTAAATATAGTAATAGAATATCATGTAACTTGTGCTAAAATTCGTTGCGAAAAAAAAGAAGACCATTTGAAAAGCAAACCTGCATGGTGTCTTTTTTAACATTTAGAAATATATCATCGATAAGGGTACTAAAACGTTTTGAATCTTCAAAGGTAAGCTTTGATAATGTGTTCAACATCAGTGCCTGCAAAATTTCGTTACTTGGATATTTTCAAATCAAAAAAAAGGACAGCAACTGGATTGTTATGAACAATCGATTGCTATGAATAACTGTTACAAATTTCGAAAAGTTTGCTAAAGAAAAAATTTACAAAAGTTTAGAAAAGGGAAAAAATACATCAACAACCACTTGAACTTCATTTTTATCCAGTCTGTTAACCAACAAATTACCGCAACTGCGCAATACTGTTTTTAATGCCCTCAAGCCCCAATCATAATGCTGCTGCGAGCTTAACATTTCCCTTAAAAAAATTGTTAATTAATTTAAATTCGGCTAAAAATTTCATAATTTGAAAAGAAAAAGTTTGTAAATGGTACTGATCTTTTATATTTCACTAGAACTGAAATTTTCATTTATTTAACTACTAATTAAGTTATCCAGTAAGTTAATCAAACAAAATATTAGACGAATAACCTATAAAATCTGGATAAGTATATTAGTGAACTGGAAAAATACAAACTAACTTGCTCAAGTCGAAGATTGATACCAGCTTCCGTGATAATTTCTTTGCGTCACAAAAACCTTCTGAACTCAAAAGTGTTTCTGCTAAAAAAACCTTTGATATTTTGAATCCTACTAAGTATTATTAAGTATGATTTTTGATTTTGGCTAATATCGTAAAACACATTCATACAGATTACTCAGAAAGTGATAACAAACCGATAAGTTCATTATCCGGAACAGACATAATAATCGGACGAAACAACTGCTTAAGATTATCCGGTAATTTCTGTCGTCCACCATATCCCTTACTTGCTGGATTCAGTGTTATGAATATTGCTGAATTTAAATCTACAGGGATCTGAAATTTGTGATAAAAATAACCGTTTAAAAATTGTTTTACATGATTTTAGTTTTCAATAATACAGAAAAATTCTTACATCTCGGTCTGCTAGCATACATTTTCCTGACCGTGATTTTATTGCATCTTGAATGGCCTGAATTTGCATTGATACAGCCGAAAGCACTGTCTGGAATTATACATAAATGTTAAGCATTTTGTTTTTATAACCCATAATTCTGTTTAATAAAAAGAAAAGTAACCTGATCTAAACGATTAAATTCATCGAAACAGCCCCATGCACCACATTGAACCAAACCAATAAAAATGCGACTCATTGAGTAGATATCAATTCCTTCATCGCAATTAAATACCAGAACTTGTCGTCCAAATAAATTTGCTAATGCCTCAAATTTTGACCATATTAACATGAGAAAAAGGTTAATCGAAGGAAGTGAACGTATCATTTTCGTTCAAATGATAGTAACGTTAATTTTGTGCACTTTTATTTCATTATCATCTGGTTGATAAGTAATGAAGCAATATTTTACCTAATAAAACTTCAGATATGTTTACCTTTACAGATTCAGTTTTTCCGGTGCCTGCAGGACCATATGGATTGCCACCAAGACCCATTGACATTGCTGAGGATTAAGCTTTTTTTGAAATTTAAAAGAATGTGGAAAAAAGAACCTGATAATTAAGATAGAATAAAGTTCTTGGTTATAATTCTGAATTCGATAATAATTAAAAGCAAAATATTGCAAGAATAATTACAAATAAAAAAAGAAAGTTTAAATAGCTTACCTTGTGTAAGAGTTAAGTAGCATTTATCAGTGAGAGGAGTGTGAACCAATTTTGGCGCATTACCCTAAATTACGTTATAGATAATTTTATTTTCTGAACCTGTCAAATCTATATTTAGGTAATAAACCTGATATTCGTAAGTGTAATCGAATCGTGTACCAATATGCCGTATTACCACATACTCCTTTGATTCCAGATAAAATCGTAGCTGCTTCTGCCAGACCCACGACGATTTAGAGCTAAAATTTTCATTAATAGTTGAAGAAGTAAGATTAATAGCAAACAGCCTGATTTCACGACTGCTACAGTGATTTTTTTTTTGAGAAAAGATAAACATAAATTAAATAATCTAGTAATATGAATAAGATAATGAAGATTAATTTGAAAAAAAATTAAAGATTTAACATTACATTGTTTGGTGATTCTAAAACATTTAAGATTTCATATTGAATTTGTTTTCCGTTTAAAGCATTGAGATCGTGGTAGCAATAAATTGATAATTAAGTTGATATGAATTTGTTAAAATATAGCAAATAAAAAAACAATGGAATATAAGAATGAATAAAAAATATAGCGAATAAAAAAAAATGGAATATAAAGAAAACACGCTTCTTACCAGGGTGAATTGTCGATTAGCTCATCGATGATATTTATATTATGAATTACATCCATTATAAGCGCTTTCAATTTAAGCTTTAAAACTTGGTCTGTTGTTTTTGAATTAATATAATTTGTCAGTGTTTGTTTTAGCTGCTTCCGATAACTTTGCAAATCACCTCTGCCGCTCAAAATTCGTTCACATCCTTCACAAAAACGAATTTGTTCCGATAAACATAAAACCTGAAGATTTGCATTTTTAAATTTTTCTTTCTGCAAAAAAAAAAAAAAAATGTTATATAATCGGATGAAGGAGTCAAAAGAAAAACCTGCGACGGATATTTCCCAGGGTCAGGAGATGTTTCAGCAACACAGCTTATGGTAAGTTTTCGAATTGTATTCTTCATTTCATTAGACAGTTCTTGCAACCATTTCTGTAACTTTCTTCTTAGAGTTAATTTCGATTAAAAACTAAATTAGAATGCATTTAAAAAGTGTTCAAATTCTTATATTTCTTTCGTTTCTATTTAAAAGTAAAAAAAAAAAGGCATACTTCTACTTCAGGGACAATTCTGACTGGTTTTGATAATTGTACAATTTCGCCATCACTTGAAACCATTGCAATTATCGTTTCACCATTATTACCAAATATAACTTTATGGATTCCCTGTTAAATTTAGGAATTCAGATTGAATTTATGCATTTAAAATATGGAAGAAAATATTCTTAGGAAAAAAAAGAAAAATATGAAGCCTTTTTAAGTGCTATTGTAACTCAAAGTAATTACAATGAGCTGTCAATTAGTTATAAGCACAATGATTCTGACATTGACACGACAGATTGCAAATGTCTTATGATGCATGAAGCTACCAATCTATTCATATATAATTGATTACAAGCTGAATTATAAATTGAAAATGATCTTTGCTTCAATTTAATTACTTTCTTTTGAGTATACCTGGAAAAGTTTCTTAAGATGTGCTTGTATTACGGTTGCATTCATTAATTGACCTAACATTTCTAGCAAATCGTCATCACCCAAGAAATAAAATCTAGGAAAAGCACTCCGTTTTTCCTGAAATACTTCAATTGATCACTCATTAACTGATAACATCAGTAATATTGACAATGATAATAAATGATATATACATATATTTCGATTTAGATTGAATTTTTTTTTTGATTATAATACAAACCTCAAGGAATTGATTTAATGCTTTTTGACAACGATTAAGTTGATCGATGATTTGTTCTAACGTACGCTTCAACGAATTTCGTGTGCTCAAACTGACTATACGAGGATCATCAACTATATCTATAAATCAATTATTGTCGTATCATTCCAAAAACTTATTTAAACTTAATTTCATAGTTAAATTCAATGCTCACCCCTTTATTTTTCATGCAAACTTAAATAACTATCAAACATATTTTAAATTCCCAATTTTTAGGATTTTTAGGATAAAGTCATCATTAACTGATAGTAAATTAAAATTACAATGAAGGATATTTGGAATTGTTTCAGCTATGTAAATAATTACAATAAACAATTTTTTTTTGGAAATGTTTTAGCTGTGTAAATAATTATAATAAACAATGAAGACCATTTAAGACGATACGAAATTCGACATCAACTCGATTGAAACGAGATGCCTCGGATGGAAGAGATCCACGACCAAAGATTGGTTCCAAATAAATCCATTTACGCTGTATTTCATTCATCCACTGTACATATTGTTCAGTGTCAGCCAATCTAAATGCAAAAACTAAATTTAAAATTTATCATTTTCCTGTTTTTAAAAAGTATATATATATATATATATATATATAGTTGAAAGGATAGTAATATATGAAATTTTACAGCAGGATATACCGTGTTTCCCAAATTGAAGTTTTATCAGTGAATTGAGCATAATATGATGAATTTTTTAGTGATTGTAGTAACGCTTCGCTATCTTTTACCTTAAATAATGCACGAGTAAATTTTGATAATTCTATTGGATAACAAATAAAAATGCGCTAGAAATTTGATGTTTCAGTTTCTAATCAAGTAATTTAATTTAAGTAGCAAATTTTGATAAGAATAAAAATTGTCATGATACGGTGGATATAATAGAATTGATATAAACTTCAAACACTTGCTAAACATTTAAATGCAAGAATGAATATATTTGTATTTTGCTTTATATTTTAATTAAAAAGAGAATATCAAAATTTTAACATTATATGAATGCAAAGAAAATAATACCGAATTTAATGTGTCCTTCCAATCTTTGATTATTTTCACCACTGTTCCATTTGAATGCTTGTAGTCAGTTAGAACAAATTCTGCCTAAATTTCAAAAATACGATGAAAAAATTATTGGAGCTAATGCGGGATATAATGGCATTAAAAAAGAATCGTCGAATCAATTACAAATCAATCACAAATGAAATTCGGCTTAAAGATATGATAATATCATATTAATTCGCTGATTTTTCTCTCTGTCACTTATTTCCATATCATATTTATGAATAAATTGAAATGAGCCTTAAGGCTACGTTTTATCACATATTAACTGAATTCATTTTTGTTAAGAGCTCGGCTTAAACGATATTCATTAGCTACTATATTCCTTCATTTGATACAAGATTGAATCATTTTTTAAATCTTCCAAGAAATTGCTTCGATGCATTCAAAAATATTTTTTGAGCTCAAAGGGTTAATTAGCTTAGTTAAAATTCAAATTTTCATTGAGCTCTAAATTATCCCATTTATTTTATTTGTATCCTTGTTAAATTTAAGTGATATCTTACATTATTGCGTGGATAATAAGCATATTTTTTCATTTTACATATTTTATTTTAATGTAAAATGAATGTCAATTACGAAATAACATATAACTCCTTCATTAAAGTTTTTCTTAAGTAAAAAATGAGTTAAATGATTCAAACTTTAATTCGTTAGGTAAAAATTAAAGTGAAAATATCAGTTAATATTCTGTGAAATAAATAAACAAACTTGTTCGGCCCAAAGTTCAAGCTCTTGAATGGCTTCACGAATAGTAATTTCTCCTTGGGCTCGTTCATTCAAATTTTTCAATGCCTCCAAATTTTCATTGATCATTTTGTGAACACTCAGAAAATCACCAAAACGCAAATGTTCCAACGTTGTACCTTTTGGCATACCCAATATTCGGAATAGCATTAACCAATGATCACTGCTCAAAATTTCACCTCGACAGTACTTCAAACCCGCACTCATTTCCTGTTTAAATAAAATATAATAATTTATTTTAAACAATTTATTTCATACAGTACTCAACAAACGGCTTACCGGAAAGTAGAGATGAAATTTCTTTCTTCAATTTTGAATTCCAATTATCCTATCAAAATTTAAAAATTTCACTAAAATACAAAAAATTTTCCCATTTGTAGTTTGTACTTATCAATTACTATTGTTTATTTTACTGACAACATTCTTGCATGATTCACAGTAATAACCGAGAAAGCGAATATGATTACTGAATAACTTTTTCAAGCAATATCGAAAAGCAAGTGAAAATATTACAACAAAAAGATGCTTTAATGAATAATTAAGAAAAAACAAATTAACAGAAAAAAAAAATTTCCTGATTTATTGTTTTTTAATTTTAGATAAAAAATAAATTCGTTGTAGTGATATTTGCATTTTAAAGGAAAAAGTTATTATATAGCAAAAATTTTTACACACTTCGAAATTTTTTTTGGTAAATATTCAACACTCTTACTTTGAATTGATCAATCTCCTTGCGTAAACGAATAGTGATATGTGTAGCCGGTAAACTTTTCAATTTATCATCCCACTCATGTAAATATTCATCAAAACGATAGGTTCTTGATCTAAGAAATTTTACATATTCGTAAGAATAAGTTACAAATTTAAAAAACTGTAAAAAATTTTAAAATATTTTAGCAAATTACCATTTATGATATGATTATTTTAAGTAGAGAATTAATTTCTTATTCGATGATGTAGGACAATGCTATATGAACACAAACTC